TTCTTTATAAAAAATAATTATTAAGAAACTCTCCAATATTTAGGTAGGAACCCAATAATTATTTTATTTAAGAACATTCATTTTTATTTCTAAAAACAAAATTTTCAAAAGCATCATTTATTACCTTATATTTTTTGACAATAATAAAATGTAAGCAATGCAACATGATGCAAATAAATTATGCAAATATAAATTAAAAGATGCAAATACAAATTTAATTTCATTTCATAAATCTTTAATTTTATTTCTTTTTATTTTATTATTATATTTTTAAAAAACATTTAATGATAAAAAAATTTTATTTTTTTCATGTTGAAAATTTTCCTTGATTTCCCAATTTCCTAATATCTTGATGGAATTTAAGAAAATTAATCTTTCACTTAAAAAAATTCTCATAATTATTTTTTTCAAAAAAAATAAAAATAATGTCCTTTAGTAAAAATATGATTTTGATTCGCTCAAATATCTAAGCATGTTTTCAAAATCATTTTTTTAGAAATATTATTCTATTTTTTTTCTGGGCTCTTCATTAATTGGTGAGGACTATGGTGTATATGATTTTTTTTTGTAATTTTCAACTTTAAAAAAATAAAAAGGGATTTTTTTGGTTTTTAATTTGGCTAAGTGTCTAATGGTGGTTTTAGGGGGCAACAAGGGTTGTGGGTGATTGGCAAAATAAGGGCTATGTTCAGCAGTTTTGGTGGATTTCAACTACTAAATAGGGGCTATAATACGTTGGTGTTTTTATTAGGTATTGGGGTTGTGAATAAGATTGATTGAAGCTTGAAAGCAAAGAAGCTTTCTTTGTTTTCTATTATATTTAGATTTTTACTCTGTGTCCTTATTACAGGTGTAATGGTGATGTGAATGGATGCTAGTGGTACTTGTAAGAATTGGAGATGGCAGGGAATCAAATGAGTGGTTAAGAGGTTACTGCTTTTAGGATTTTTAGTTTGTGAATAATTTTTTTCTCTGTATTCTTCCTTAGCTAACCCCTTGTAGTACCTCCAACCCAAAAATAATAATTAGGTTAGACTATTCCTAAAATCTATTATTTTATTAAGAGATTAATTACTTAAGAAAAGTAGCAGATGCATTTTAAGAGAAAAAATATAGTTATCGTAAAACAAAAAAGAAAAGTATAGCTTTTCTTTCTCATCTTGCATAGGGTTAAGGAGTATGAAAAATCAAGTTGGAGTTCGAAATCACAGACTACAATCAGATTTATCCCCTAAAGGTGAATAAATACCCTCTTATTATTTAAGAAAAATAGAATGTTGGTTGTTATTATTTGAAGTTGAGGTTATGAGAGAAAAATTAAGAAAAACTATGAAATCTTTCATTAACCTTTACGATCTATTTGGGTAAATTATTTCATGCTATTAAGATTTAATGATGATTATTGAGTAGATTTTAAAGGCTGAAATTAGGGTTTCGATTTTTAAAGGTTAAAGGAGAAATTATGTTTTTAGATTAGATGTTATTATCTACAATAGTGGATTAAAATAATATTATGTATTAAAGGATAAGATATTACTATAATTATTATATTTCATTGGAAAGCATGTTAAATCTAACTTTCCAATGAAACAAATGGAAGTCGATTCTAAATTTTCTGTGAATAATTATGTAGTTTTTACTTAGAGATGTACAGGCTATATAGTAGCAACATCAAAGTTGAATTATGAAAATTGTCTTAAATTTTATACAATGAATTATGAATTGAGCATATATGTTTGAAAAGGCTATTAAGTCAATTTTTTAACAAAACAAGCAAAACTGTTTTTCGAATCTCTATGAATAAATATGTAATTTTAATTAGAAGATACATACAATTTGGCAGTAGCATACGACATGGGTTGCAAAAATTATTACAATTAATCTAAAAAGAATTAAGAGGTGGACCATATATGGTTAGAAGTTTTATTGAGTCTAGTTTCTAACATATTAAAAAGATCTTAATTCCAAGTTGGATATCTTAAGATATGATCATTTTAGTGAAAGTAGCGCTGGCTGCCAGAATTAGTTAGTTGAGTTTATCATTTGTATAACTTGGTTGTTTTTAGTACTAATGATCTCAAAATGGATTGATTAATTTTTGTTATGTTGAAATGGTCTTGAATAGGCATTAATTATTTTGGGAGAAAAACTAAGTGGTGGAATAAAAAAAAGTCAGTAAAATCTCACACATTTTGCTTATTTTCGAACTCTTATATATATGTATGTTTTTAAATGAGTAAATATTTTATTTCTTTATTTTCAATATATAAAAATATGATCAAGCATATGACAATTTTGTACTTTTGCTATGTAAATGATGGATCATACTTATAAATGAAATGAAAAAATGATATATATTTAAGGAACGACTTTATGATAGCAATGTTTTTAGAGAAATGGAATCATTGACACCAGAACTAGTTTTATGACCCTTGCTAATGGGTTATAATAGTTAGCATAGCTATGATCATACAGCCCTACTAATGGGTTATAGTAGTTAGCATTAGGTCCTAGCTAGTAAGTTATAATAATTAGCAATGATTATGAGGATGAAATTATCGATACAATCAATGTCACAGTTTATAGCAGTGATCGTAGCTAATGATGAACTAACAGTTTATGATAATTTATGATGATTTTAAATATTGATCCATGCTTTGTATATAAAGCTGATTTATGATGATTTTTAAAGATTAATCCATGATTTGATTTGATTATGATATTTGAATGAAAGTATATTTTGTAATGATTTATGAATTGACATATTTTTATATTGATTTATGATTTACAAAATGTTTGACATAATAATGATTTTGAAATGTTTTGACATTATAAATTGATGGATTTTTTTGAATAATCTATATAATATATATGAAAACGATACTCGATCTGATAAAGTGTGTGAGCCTATATTTGCTGAGCTATAATTTACTCATTCTCCTTTTTCTTTTTCTCTATAGATGAGTAAGTGATAAGTTTCCTTAGTCTTGTGAATAACTAAAAGATCAAAATGAAAAAGATTACGTAGTCATCGACGACAATATTTGTCAATAAGATCTTATGAAATGATTTTGTATTTTTATTAGTTTGTATTTAGACATATAGAAATTTATCATCAGTTTATTGAATAATTTTAAAATGATTAAGAAGGAAGACTTCGGATTACTTTGAGGATTTACTTTAAGTTAATATGACCGCATTTGTTTAAACACCCCCTGTCCATTTTATCAGGAACTAGAGACTAAAAAAATTTTGTTGCATTCATTTTGAAAAGTAGACTAAGGAATTTGGTTCCTTGTGGTGTGCAAGATGGAAATAGATTAGGTTCTAAAGTGTTGGCTAAACTAGTGCTAAAGGTGAATAGGTGAAATGGGAGGTAAAAAACATAGTTTGCTGAGAATGGTAAGGCAATTTGCATAGGGAAGATCTGAGAAAGCTAATATGTCATAGTAGACCAAACTTCACCTTTTTTTGTAATTTTTCAATTTTTTAATTAATTTAATTAATTGTAATAAAAATAAAATTAAAATTAGGCTTAAAACTTTAATTTGGGGCTAGAGTTCGAGTTTGGGCTTAAAAAATTGATTTAGACTTCTATTGGACCCTTAACCTAACTGACCCAAAATTGAATTGGATTAGGCTTCAACCCATGCAAAATAATCCGAAAATGATTTAATACAAAGTCAAAATGAGAGCCCAGTCAAATTAAAATGTTCAAATCGCTTAAAATTGATATGTACAAACCAAAATTAAAATCGGATACGATTAAATTGTCTTGAACAAAATTAAAAGTCTACAGTGATGGTGAAGGTAAAGGCAAGAAAGTGAAGGTTGTTTCTTTATTTTTTTCATTGCTGTCCCTTTGGTGCTGTGTATCCTAGGATTTTATTAAGGATCAATCTCTATTTCATGTTGCCATTAGATTTGGATGGGAAATTGATTAGGTCTAAAAATATAATTGGAGTTCTTAGATTGTTATAGAACACAAGATGAAAACAAAGATGTTGTTTCTTGCGTTTTGAATTTCTAGCGGATTTTGGATTGCTGGATACTTTATCAAGTTGTGTTACAGGTGATTGAGGTAAATTTCATGAAGTAAAAAAATAAAGAATTTGGAATTGGGGCAGTAATTTTAAAGAAGGGTTTTAAGAGAAAAACAAAGTTGGTTGTCATGGCAGTCTAAGCTTCAAGCTTTTTTTTGTTAATTTTTTTACTTTTTCATTTTTTTTCTTTGTTCTTTATATATATGGAGAAAAAAAAGGAAAGAAAATGACAAAAATCTCCTCATGGGACTTTTCTCTATTTCAAACTTCTAATCCCAAATGATCCAAAATTTTGATTAAACTAAAATTTAATCCATAATAAGCTCAATCCCAAAAGATGGATCTAATAAGCTCAAATGAATCCAAATTAAATGAGTCCAAATCATCCTAATTAAAATGTGAAATTAAAATAAAATTACTTTTAATTCAAAATAAATTAAAACCCCAAAATACTTTAATTATCTCATAAAATTAAGTGTCTATTATTTTCTATATATGTAATTATATATAAGAGAGATGAAAATAATTTTAAGATACAGATATGTCCTTATAGTATGATATTATATATGATTTTTATATCATATTTTTTTGTTTGATCAAAGATTTGACTTCAAATTACCACTACTAAATTTTACAAAGGACCGGTTCATTTGAATATAATAACCCTCTTTGTTTTATAGGATAATTGTGAAAAATGTCATTAGATAATTTTACATTACTTTCACTTATCAGAAAGCAATCTTGCTTCTCAAACCAATCTTTCCAAAGCTGAAAAAGTAAAGAATATCCACTAATTATAATGTAATCATTTTCAAAATAGGGAAAAAAAATATGACCGTTGAGGCCACCTGATGGGGTTAGCTTGGTGTCCCCATGTTCGTAGGCCATGGGTGCTGTCCTTTGTTTGTATCTAAGCTAAGGGTAGCCCACAAACCCCAAACTGGTTGTCTCGATCCCAAAAATATGTTGGTACCCAAGCCTGTAAACGTAAATAAAGCTGCAACGGCTATATCCAACAAAAAACGAAATAAAAATTCAAATACGAAAAAGATAATGGTGCCTATAGGCCTTTGGGTTTGGGTTTTTTCCTAACAAAAAGTCCCTGCAACTGTCACAAATGTTGCACATGATATCTTACCCGTTGATTTTCTGTCAATTTTATGACATGGTTTTATGACAGTTTTGAGTTATATATGTCTTTTGCTTCCCCTTAGCTTTACCCCATTTCTTTGCTTTGTTTTTATTACCAGATTCGCATTATAAGTCCTAGGCTCGTAGCCTTATAGCTTCCTCACCTTTGGCCCACTTCCTACCTCTTGTTGCCACTCACATCTCACTCTTTTCTTTCTTTCTCTCTTCTCTTCAATCTTGAGTCTGGTCTGTTTGGTCAGTGTCTTCTCTATGGCTTTGCTTGTTCTTCTTCTTTTTTTAGCAGTTGCTCAAGCAACAGCTGATGAAGGTAAGGCTTTATATATATTTTTCTTCTCCCTTAATGTTTGTTTGAGAAGTTCATGTAGAAGGGTTTGGCAACTAAGCTTCTGATTGTTCTGGTTCTTGATTCATTAAGAATTTTCCTCAGTTGCTTTGAAATTAATTGGCTCACATTGTCTGGATTTTTTTTCTGTCATTTTTTCGGTCATTTTAGTGCTACAAATCTGAAGAACAATAACTGAATTAACTTAAAAGAGTTCAACAGATCTTAGAAATTGTGTTATGTCGGTCGTGGACTTGGGAATTTAGTAGGTTGGAAGCATTAAATCACAGAATATAAGTGAAGAAAGATAGGAAGTTGAAGGGTGTTAAAGAGAAACAAAAATACATACAAATATGGCCTACATGTCAGCTAATCAAAACATAACTGATAACTCTCCTGGAAGGAAAGGTTATAACCATATGTAAGGGAGACTAAATTATTTTATTGCGGGCCAGAGGTTTTTGTGTACATTGTGGAGGCCAGCTTTCATACTGGGGGATTTGAGGAATATTTGCCCCTAACTTTGTACATGTTTTCTACTACTACATTCTTTTGTTGAATTTAGACAAGGAAAAGGAAAATGAAAACCCAAAACCAAGGTAGCTCTGTTATTGTCTTCCAGCTAGATCCTATAGTCCTTCACTGTGTTTTTCTTTGAAAAAAAAAATCTTGGGCAGTGCCATTTCAGTTTGTCTTGGTAGTGAAAATGGTCAAAAAGTTACAGGATCAAAGTACTTTTGCCTAGATATTAGAACACGGTGTTGGCATTGGAACAGGGAACATACCAGGTTGCAATATCTTTATTTTTTTTTATCCTTTAGATATAGCTAGCAAGCACCCATGTTCGTATAATTTTTTATCCGAGGAAAGTTTAGATGGAGAAGTTTCTTTGTTGGAATTCTAGTGAACATGGAGGTTTTCTATTGTTGTAAAGCACCATCTTATGACAAAAGATCAGTTTAGTTGGTAGCAGACTTTCCTTAAAATGATATCAGAATCAGACATTCTTTTCTTATTTTTAGAGAGAGTTACTTAATGATTGTAAAGGATTGATAATGGCAGTCTTTGCATCAGGAAGATGCATTGCCCGTAAAAAGATTTGTTAAAATCTTTTGGGGGAGCTAAAATGAACAAATAGCTGCCAAATCAATGAACTATTGGAAAATGTGTTAAAAATTTGAATGTTTAGTTGAAATTATATTAGTTTATTGTTGTTGCAGATCCATATATTGGAGTGAATATAGGAACAGACCTATCAGACATGCCACACCCAACGCAAGTAGTTGCTCTTCTTAAAGCTCAGCAAATCCGACATGTTAGGCTATACAATGCCGACCGAGGCATGCTAGTTGCTCTAGCAAACACTGGCATTCGAGTTATGGTCTCTATCCCCAATGAGCAACTTCTTGGCATTGGCCAATCAAATTCCACTGCAGCTAATTGGGTCTCCCGAAACATTGTAGCCTATTATCCTGCAACTAACATCACAGCAATTTGTGTAGGTTCTGAAGTTTTGACTACTCTTCCTAATGCAGCACCAGTCCTCGTGAATGCCATGAAGTTCATTCACTCGGCCCTTGTAGCGTCCAATTTAGACAACCAAATCAAAGTTTCATCACCTCTTTCTTCCTCCGTAATCCTTGATTCTTTCCCACCTTCCCAAGCCTTCTTCAATCGCTCGTGGAATCCAGTTTTGGTCCCCATGCTTAATTTCTTGCAGTCTTCAGGCTCATTTCTCATGCTTAATATATACCCTTACTATGACTATATGCAATCAAATGGTGTGATTCCACCAGACTATGCACTTTTCAAGCCTCTTTCTCCAACCAAGGAAGCTGTCGATGCTAACACACTTGTCCACTATTCCAATGTCTTTGATGCTACGGTTGATGCTGCATACTTTGCCATGGCTTTTCTGAACTTCACCAACATTCCTGCTATAGTGACTGAAACTGGCTGGCCATCAAAAGGTGATTCCAATGAGCCAGATGCAACATTAGAGAATGCCAACACTTATAACAGCAACTTGATCCGCCATGTGATGAACAAAACCGGAACTCCTAAGCGGCCTGGAATTGCTGTCAGTACTTACATCTATGAGCTCTATAATGAGGACATGAAACCAGGGCCAATCTCAGAGAAAAATTGGGGATTGTTTGATGCAAATGGTGACCCTATTTATATACTACACTTGACAGGGTCAGGATCATTGTTAGCAAATGATACTACTAACCAAACTTATTGTACTGCAAAGGATGGAGCTGATCCAAAGATGTTGCAGGCTGCTTTAGATTGGGCTTGTGGACCTGGAAAGGTGGATTGCTCACCATTGTTGCAAGGAAAACCATGTTATGAGCCAGACAATGTGATCGCACATGCAACCTATGCATTCGACACTTACTATCATCGGATGGGGAAGACTTCTGATGCATGTGACTTCAATGGGGTTGCGGATATCACAACAACAGATCCAAGTAAGATGAATAGATAGCATATATAGATACTAACATATTGAAAGCTTGTGTTTACTACATTAATGCGACTTTCTTTTCTAGGTTGACAACTTACATTGGAAGAAAACTAATACATTTTTGCTTATTGTAGGTCATGGTTCTTGTATTTTTCCAGGAAGGTAAAAATCTAACCATTTGGCTTAGAGTTTTTACTTGTTTCATAAAATGAGTATGTTAAAAGCTTACTCTTCTCATAAACTACTAGTCAAAAACACATTTGATTTTGTTGTTAATGTATGATGCAGCCTTGGCAGGAATGGAACTATGGTAAATATCACAGCACCATCCATGAATTCAACGAGTTCGGATTCACCTGGTCAAAATTTTTATGGCAGGGGAGGTTTCACTAGCATTCTAGTGTTAATCAAAGTTATTGTCTGGAGTGTAATTTTCTCGTAGGCTTGGTAGTTGGTGTATGTTGGGATCTTTTGCAATTCATTCAAGCAAATTTTGAGAGTAGAGGTGGTGGTCAGAGGGAATTTTTTTCCCGTATTTTGGAGATAGTGACCTGGTGGAAGAGTGGCCTATTCAATTTGTACAAAGGAAGATGGAGGAGCCAGAGACTTTGCTATGATGTCATTAAATCCTCATTCTTTTCAGATTGGATTTGGGAGTTTTTATAAACATCTATCTTGTTAAATCATTTACTTTTTTTTTTTTCGTTTAAATTTTTATATATAGGAAGAGTCACTGGATCTTGAATTAAGATGCCAAATAACTATTTTTCATCCCATAATTCTCATCCACTTCTAAGGTTAACCAATTATTGGAGTGCCACCTCTAGGATAATATCTTGTATTTCTGAACTCATTTTCAGCATCTTGGATTTTTTTTTTTTTGTACAAATCATCTCTACTTCAAATTTAAATTTAAATTTATTAAATATTATTTATTATATAAATAAACTGAATTAAATTTTAAATTTTTGATTAAAATCATGTTGATTCAACTTTAAAATCGTGTTGGTATTGATTGTTGAAACGTAATTTTAACATTAAATTTTAATCCTTTTTTGTCTAACTTTTATACTCTGACTACTTATTGATAATATGTATATAATAAATAGTAATTTTATGAACATTTATTATCTGTAAATAATCATACAGTCATATAGTTTAACATGTTCCTATAGCGATATTTACAACATATTTAAAAGTAAGATTTGGAGTTTGGACAAATGCTGTAAAATGAACAGTAAATGGGGAAAAAAAATGACAGCTGGTATTTGTTGCATATTATGCTGGCCCATGAGCTTGACGGGCTGCCAAGTCCAACAACAAGTCTAAAACTAGATGAATTCGGGGTGTACCAACCCTCAGAGCCAGTTTCGAGTCAACCCATATCCATTTCCCATGAACCCTAACCTTACCCTTTTTTAGCTTTTGAAACTCTATAAATCACCCCAAACTAAGCCAGCCGAATTCTGCCAAATCCCCCTTCCCAATAACCCAATTTTATCTATTCACTTCCTCACTGGCATCTCTCTATGATCCTCAGTGTTCACTATTAAACAATAACACTGAAGAGGATACAAAAAAGATGCAATATCAAAGGTACTTCCGGACGTGCAGTTTCCAAATTGTATTTAGTACTTTTCAATGGATTCTTGCATTTTCTCGTAAGTTTCACAGTTTTTAAAATCTGGGTTTGTGTTTTGTTGCTCAATGATGATTGATATTTGCTTTAACCACACTGAAAATAGAGATCTTGGAGTTTGGGTTTTTTTTAATTTATTCTCTTTGGTTTAAGACAAAAGGAAAATTTTTTGCTATGCTTATTGTGTTTGGCTTTTGCTTAATGATTCTGTTTTCTAGGAGTTTGAGGGTAATGTTTTTTATTACATGTCCTCTTCTTTTAGATTATGGAAGAAAGCATTTGTCAAGCACTTGAAGATTTTGGCTTTCTTTTGTCTTAAATTTTAGAGAAAAAAATTACCTTCTTCTTGGTCTCTGATGTGGAAAACCTTGGCCTTTCAACTGAGAGCAATTAATCCCTTTGTTTTTCCTTTTTCTTGTTTCATATGAATATTGTTTCTCTGATTGTGGAAAAATATTGATTTGGTTTTGTGTTTCTGATTTTTTAAGAGGAAAAAAATGTTCTTTCTGTATAAATTTTTCATATGGGTTATTTGTTTTAAGTGTAAATATGGATTCTTTTCTTTTGTTTTTAAATTTTCACTTTTATTTTAAGTGAAATTTTGTTTTTTTTTTAACATGTTTCTGACAATTCTTTTATAGGTTAGAAGTTTGTCAGGCATTTGAGCTATTTGGGTCTTTTTGTTGTTTCCTTTAGCTGACAATCTTTGATAGTTTTGCCTTCTAATAGTGTTCCTTGATGGATTTTATTATTCAGTTTTGAGAAATTGACATTTTCAACTGTGGAAATTGGGAAATGATGACAGCTTAATTGCTGGATAGTATCTGAGCAAGCTTTGAAGAATTGTTTTTTGCACGTCAGTCTGATCCCAAACTTCAACTACATTTTTCTTAAAAGAAAAGGAACTACTATTAAAACTGAATATAAGGGTTTTACTTTTCTTCAAAATTCCAAGTTTTATGGAAAATTTTAGGGTATTTATTGATATAAAGCAGCTAAGTTACATGTTGAAACTCAATAGGGGTAAAACAGATCGCTACATTTTACTTTTTAAGCAGTGCGAATGATATAAAATGGTTTTAAAAACTTTTAACAATCATTAACACAAAAGGTTTTGAGAAACGAGTCACTGTGGCTTTGGTGGAAGGGAAGGAGCAGTGGCAGAAGATAAGCTGGATAACAACTTCTCAGCCAGCACTTCATTTGCTGCATCTGTTGGATGAAAAGCATCCCAAAATACATATTCTTTGCGATTATTGCATAGTTTTGAGTTTGGCAAGCATAAACCACCAATGTTTGTGTCAACATTGCAACATGATGTGTTAGAGATCTTAAAACCTGAAAAAAAGAAACACACGCAAGAAATGAGATTGAATTATTTGTTGCCATAATAATCATCTAGTAGTACCAACAGATGGTTTAATCGTTGAAGGAAAAACGTTTTTCATTTTGTTGCTTGAGTTTGAATTTTTGGGAGGTGTAGAAAGGTTCTTAATGGATTTATTAATAAATAAATTTGATTGAATGGATCACAAAAATAATGAAATTGGATAAAACTCAAAATATTTTGTCGTTTTAAAGGTTTTCATAATTAATTTGAATTCTTACTAAATGAAAAAAAGGGAGTGGAGGCAAGTTCTTTAGGGATGAGGGACATTGGAAGTACAACGGGTAAAGAATAGGATAAAGGATATACCATAGACTGTTGGGTTGATGATCAAATCAAGAACTGCTGGATATGTGTCAGCAAACATCATCTGTGCATTGGGGAGGCGTTTGTTTAGAGATGTTATCAGGTCTTGCACTTGGGAATTGAATTCCATCATCCAGTCATTCACTTTCTTCAAGCATTGGCCTGTGTTCGATTTCACTCTCTGGGAAGGAATGCAGCCTAATGGCCCAAGGCCATGGAACAAAATCTTTCTTGCCCCAAGTTGGTAAAGCCTCTGTCATTCAGCAGTTTCAGCCTGGCTAAGTTCAAAAAAAAGAAAAAAGCAACTAGACCTTGGTTTATTTTAGTTCTCAATTAAGGTGAGAAAGAGTTCTTATACCGAAAGTTGTCGCTCCAAGGTTGAAGTCAAAAGTTCAACAAATTCATCGTGTGTATACTGTTGCGCATCTGCTAGAAAGGGCTGCAAGAAATTGTTTACATAGTCATTACTGCCTGCAAAATGTCAAAACAAAATCTAACTTTGTTAAGCGCTGGAAAGGAGGAATACTTATGTTATTTTAAACAAGGAATTTTTTTTTTATAATTAGGTCAAGGATACCTTAAATTTTGGTTGGGCTAAATTTCCTTTTTCAATGGTCCTAAAGATATTCTTCTCTTACGATTATTTAGTACATTCATAATTTTACTTTCAAATATTCCTCGTAACAAAAATAATTACGGTTCGCGTCTAGTTTACTAGTTTTTGAAGCATTGGTTCAAGTTTATTTGGCTTTTAAAAGCATGAAATTTGTCTGAAATGGTTAGTGATTTGCAATTATTTTGGCAAAGGAAGCTTACCAATTCCAATGAAGTAGATAGCCTCATTGCAAAGCTTGTTTGCAGCCTCTTCACCTATTTTAGCCCTGATTTGCTCCTTTGTATTTTTGAAGTAATTTATCTGATCATCAAAGGTCAATCTCTGAACCTGCAATACATGAAAGATTAATGAAGAGAAAAAAAAATAATTCTTAACAAATAGAACAGATCAATGTAAATGAAATGAGTGGTTGAATGGAGAACTCGGCAATTTTAAAAGAGAGAAATTACAAAATATTGCCCTGTCTCATTGAGAATTCCTGCTCCACCGGAAGCATAATTCACCCCTTGAAGGATTGCATCATCATTTTGTGACAAGGAAAGATAAGGTGGTGGTGATGAAATCCCAAGCTTTTCAGCTACAAATTCAACAAAATTAACAAAGGCAAGAAGAGTTAATTTCCAGTTCAGAAACTTTTTAATTCAAAGATAAAACTGTTGTGGTTTGAATTAATACATAGAATATCCCCAATGGTTCTTCCATTTGTGAATCTTCCGGTAGCCTGCCTCCCAGTAAAATCAATCCCATACCAGGGATAATCTGACCTTGCCAAAGAATACTGCAGATGATTGTTGTTTCCAACTTCTGCCAATGAGTCCCCAAAAACAAATGTGACCAAAGATGCAGCTGAAGCCAAAGGTTCAAATACCAAAACAATTGCCGCTGCAAAAACCTGCCATTGCTTTGCCATTTAAATTAATCTTTTCTGAGTGTTACAGAAACTTGTTCATCGGCTTGGATTTTATAACAAGTTTAAGGCAGGTTGACAACTTTTTTGTCAAGCCCATTTCTCCAAGTTTGAACATATTAGGTGGTTAATTTCAAACCCCCCTGGAAAAAACCAAGTGTAAATCAGGATCTCAGCTTCTCATTTGTGTAATTCTGTAAGTTTTGGAGGTTATTGGTCTCTGTTTCTAGCAGTTGGCCAACTCAATTCATTAAGTCATCTCAGTTGGTTTTTGTTAGGTTCTGCCATTGCTGGAACAATGGGATTTTTTTCCCCCATTGCTACATCAGACTGGACAGTTACAAAAGCATTTAAAAAAAGCAAGCGCACGTTTATCTTGATTTACCTCCTCTACTTGTTAATTAATTAGTGCTTAATGGGTTTTAAGTAAAAGAAGCTGCTTTGCCTGCCAAGACTGCACAATGACAAGTAACTTAATAATTTTGAATCTTCCGTAAGAAAAATGGAAAGCTTGTATTTGGAGGAGACAATTGGGCAGTTGGGTCACATCAGATTTTTCGAATAATTTAAAGTTTTAATTATTGATTTTTAATGATTAAATTAAATTAAATAAGATTCAGATATAAACTATAGGACAAATTTTTCGAGTTTGGGTCAAGTAATCAAATTTGTATCATCTGCATTGGCAAACTAATCTAGATCTCTTCTATCTCCCATCGTTATAACATGAAGTTACTAACATTGCTTTGTCGGTATTATTATTTGATACTGCTGTTAGGCAGTTGTTAGTCCAACCTTTAATGTATTTTGTGATGTTGTTCGGCAAAAACCAACCATTTAAGCATATTGTTCATTACTTGTACTTGTTTTTGTTTGCGTTATAATTGGTTTTTTTTGGTCCAGGGTCCCAGCAGCCTAATCTGTCTAAGGTAATTAGTATTTTGATTTGATTTGAAAATCAAAGCTTAATTAATAAATTGTTACTATTTGAAAATTTTGTTGCGAAATGCTATGCATTTTATTCCTCGAATCTTAATTTTGGTTAAAATATTTTTTTTTAATTTATGAACGTTACCAAACTCACTTTAAGATTAATTTTACGTTTAAAAATTACTTTTGATCTAACTTCAATCTTAAATAATAAAAAAATTGTAGCTTTTGTTTAAAAGTCTATTTTGCAAATCCAAACAAAAAAAATTCAAGATGTTTTTGCTGTCAATCATTTTTATTTTGGTAAAATGACTTTATTATTTTCTTATCTACTTTTATTATGTTATGATTTTTTTTTGGATAATTTAGAATATAGTACTTTTCACATCTGATTAAAAGATTTAATTAATGGTGAATAGATTTAATTTTTGTATTAAATTTATTCATATTCTAAATAATTATGTTTGAATAAAAATAGTTATCATATGACAAATGATCATAATTATTTGTATATAAATAGATAGTTGTTTATATAAAATTATGACAATACAAATAATTATAATCATTTAAATAAAAATTTTTGTTTATTAATTTATTATAATTAAATCTTTTAGTATAACTATTACCATTATTTCTTATTGAAAAGTTTGAAGTTTTATTATATCGTAAAAGCATAATTGTCTTCTAAAAAATGTTTTTCATATCTTAAAAATCAAAATTATTTTTTATTGGTTCTCTCCTCTTATTTTATTTTTTCTAATAATTTAAAGATATTTATGAGAAATTCATATTTCGCATAAGGAAGATAAAGAAAAAGAAATTGACAAATTTGACAAAATTAACTTTTTGAAATATGCATAGAAAGCTTCAATTGTCCAAATAATTTTTTGGTGAAATAAATACTAAATGCAAGATAAGTTTCTTATTACTATCTTTCTAGTTTTTATATTTTACTAAAAGAATTGATGATTAATAATTCATTGGAGACCATGAGTCTAATTGAATTTTGCTTCTTTATTAACTAGTTTTTTAATCTTTTGATTTTGAATTAAATTATTTAATTATGATTTATGATTTTATGCTATGTCATATGTGAATTTTTTAAATAATGACATTGAATGGTCATGGGCATAAAATAGACATAGAGTACTTGCTAGCTTTGGTTATAAATCTTTTATAACCCTGTTATGTTTTGGTAAGATCATGGTTATGAAATCAAAATGATAAATTTTCAAGCATTATTTTAAGGTATAAAAGAAATTATGAATTTATAAATCTTTTCAAAAAAGAAGCAAAAATATATATTTTTATCATAAAATTATATTTTATGGTATATATTCATGATTGCATTTTATTGACAAGAGAATAATGTGTGATTCATATTATTTTAATTTATATAATATTATTTCAATAAGAAATAAACATATTATTGAAAATAACTTCAATTCAATTAGAGAAGTTATATAATTCTTTGTAACTAGTTAAAATGCTTTTTATTTGTTGGCTGGAAAATATTTGATAATTTGGACACAAACTTTATATGTAGTATTGTGTTGTTATACATGAAATTATGATTGTTCTTAATGACATGAATCATGGTGGATATGATTTTAGTATCCATGATAAAAAATTTTATAAGTATGATGAGTTGATATAAAAGTCTAAAAAAGGAGAAAATAGAAAACATGAGTTTACTAAAAGAAAATAATTTTGAGGATGGTTATGCTTGACATCATACTTATTGATATATATACTCTCATATTGAGTTAAAATATAAAAGTTTTGAAACTTTTATGAAAATAAAATATTAAGATATAGAATATTTGCTAGTTATTTCTCATTAAGAGTGGATTTGAAGGCCTCTACTTAAACAAAAACAACCACCAAATAATAAAAAAATAAATGAAATGGTAACTTGATTAAGTATATATCATATCTTAATAATTGAATGGGATATTATTTAATAAAAGAATGCATATTTGCACATGGTAAGGGTGATAAAAATAAAAAATAAAAAAATTATCACTATAATGTTGTAAGATTTTAAATATAATTTTATAAGCAAATTTTAAAACTAATAAGTTTATTACAATTTATTAAAGTAAAATCATTAAAAGGTTCTTGAATATCTTAAAAGGATTAAAATGGCTTGGTTTATTCATTAAGTTTATTTAATTATAACAGAAGTATAATTGTGTTAAAGATGTATAAAGAATGAAAATAAAATGGTTGAAATTTATTAGCATAGAGCTTAGACCACAACCAATAACAATTATTTCTTAAAATGACAATAATGGAGCAACAATGTTTAGATCATATAAATGATATGCAAAATGAAAAGTTTGGACATATTAATCTATTAAGTGATTCTCTAAATGTTAGCCTATAAAGTGATTATATTAGAGATTTAATCTTAAATGGAAGTAATTACTATAAATGAAAATTAAATTTCAAGATATTTGATTAGTAGTACTACAAGTAGAATATGTTTAAACCCTTAATATTAGACACCAATAATGAGAACTCAATTTTAAATTAGTAACTTCTAATTACAAAGTTTAATGGGTAAAAACAAGTTATTGTTATGTGTCTGTTAAATATTAGTAAAATCCATTCAAATTTTAGAAATTAATATGATCCATTACATGAGGAGGATGAGTTTTTATATTCTTAATGAAGTTTATTTATACTCTTAATGAAGTTTATTATTTAAATATCTAAAGTAATGGAAACATAATGAAAATTCTACCTATATAAATATAGAAATAGTGATGTTTCAACAAAAAAAATTGGATCTTTCTTGTAAATATTTATGAATTGGATAAGCACATAGCTATAATAGTGTTAAAATGAATATGAACCTCTGACAAAAGAAAAAGTAAGTATTATATGTGTTATATCTTCAATTCTAATATTAGGAATTGAGGTTTAATATGTGGATACCATCAATTTCATTATAATTCTAAGATATATATATTAATTGAAAGTTTAAATCAAGAAATATTTTTTTTATATTCATAATATTTATCTGTGTGAAAAGTTAAGGATTAAGTACAAACATTCTAAGTAAGTAAATGATTGTTAGTAGTTTAAAATATAGTGCATCCCATATATAATTGAAAAACTTATTTATTGGTAAATAGATTTAATTTTTGTATTAAATTTATTTATATTCTAAATAATTATGTTTAAACAGTAATAATTATTATATGACAAATGATCATAACTATTTGCATATGAATAGATAGTTGTTCATATAAAATTATGACTATACAAATGGTTATAACTATTTAAATAGAAATTTATGTTTGCTTATTTATTATAGATAGATCTTTCAATATAATCATTTTTATTACTTTTGTATGAAGAGTTTGAGATTTTATTGTATCCTAAAGTCATAATTGACTTTAAAAAAATATTTTTCATGCCTTAAAACCTGTAGACACCGATTTTGTCTGGGTCTATTGTTTTAATTATAATAATAATATTAATAATAATTTTTTTTTAAAAAATAATTATTAATTATAATAAATAAAAACAAAAAAAAAGAAACAAAAAAAAAACAGAAAGCAGGGCGGCTGATGCCTGGCACTAGCCACCTTGCAGCCACCACTAACAGCCCCGACCAGCCACCCTACAGCCCACCTCCTGCCACTCCCTATAGTGACCCCTACAACATCATCTGCTCCTTAAAAAACCTCATAAATCCTTCCCAGAAAGCTCTCTCGAATCCCCTTCAACCGCTCTTTGGAATCCCCTTCAACCTCTCTTTGGAATCCCCTTCAACTTCTCTTTGGAATCCCCTTCAACATCCCTCTGGAACCCTTATTTCCGATCAGACCCCCCTCTAAAAAAAAAGCCTTCGAATAGACCCCCGAAACCAAGCCAAACTCTTCCATCAACAACCCCAAACACCCCCCAAAATACCCAAAACATAAATGAAAAAAACAGAAACAAAAACCAAAAACAACATAGTATGGCGAGGACCCATCAGTGTCGAGCTCCCTGCAATAACAAAAAGAATCAGATCAGCCTTCATTTTACAAAAAAAAAAGAAAGAAAAACAACAAACTCAGAAAAGTTCAAACCCTGAAATACATCGATCGGGGCTTGTTCTTCAGAAAAAGACCTCGGATCTAAACTCAGGAGGTTGAGAGGAGCATCGTGGTGAATTTTGATAATTTTTCGGCCACCAATGACCACCGTCGGTGGTGACCAAGCGGTGGTCGGTGTGATGCTCCGACGACCGGATGACGAAAAGGTCAAACCTTTCCCTTAGAGTTCTCTCTCCTTCTCTTCTTTTTTTTTTTTCTTTGAAACAGAAAATAATGAGCCAAAAAAATTTTTCAGTTATATATAGAAAAGCAAAACTCAAAACGACGTCGTTTAGGGATCCTCGGGTCGGATCCGGGTCCACAAGCGGATCCTATTTGGTTAAAACGACGTCGTTTAGGGAAATACCCAAAACGACGTCGTTTTAACCAAATAGGATCCGCTTGTGGACCCGGATCTGACCCGAGATCCTCGTAAATC